TCAACACGTCTTGAAGGGCGCCCCGTATACGGAACTCCATAAGATACATTTCCTCAGTATGGAGAATACGTCTGAAACTTAAAAGAAAACTAGGAATCGCATTGAGCGTAATCTTCGACGATCATCCAGCTCATCGATATGTCGACCGGATAAATCCGACGAGTGCGGGGATATTTCAGAACTCGTAAACATTCGGTTCCTTCGATATGAAAAGACTTGCCTTAAAGATTGAATGAGGTGGGATTACTCATGCGTACGGATCAGTTGTACGGAGATGAATTTCTTGGTGATATCGAGGGTTTCCGGCTGGTGGCTGGCGGTGGAAATTTAAAATTGGATGTCTCAAGACGCCACTTATGTCACGCGTCAGGGCAGTAATAACGCATTAAAGACTTGCCATCTGATTCAAATTTTGGAACATATGCATAAATGCCGCTAAATATTTACAATGATTACAAAACTATTGCGCGATTCTCCCAAGTGTTCAATGGTAGAATCTGCAACAGAAACGGAGCCAAATACAATGATGTGAGTGAGGGCAAACACTCGTCCATTGAAACGAGACGTGCCTGAACACTACTTGTGTAGGCACTAGACCAGTCATGCAGCTCCTTCATCTACACCTTCGAACCCCAGAATACCTATGCCATATTCAATTCCGCTAATATCTTCGAATTGTGCTCGCCAACTTTAGGGACTGGATCCATACGAGCTTCGAGCCCTTCACCTCTACCTCGAGGCTGGAATCCAGGAGGTATGAGGGCCGGCACTACGCCGGCGGGCGTGTCTACTTCTGTCCATCGCCCTCTCGCTTGAAGCTGGGGATGGTTCCAGACATCGTGCATGTCATTAACTTTAGCGTTTGCAATGGAAGCTACTTCGAGTCGCTTGACGACGTCTTCAGACGATAATTGCGAGAAGATATCTTCAATAGTCTGCTTCAAAGCCTCACGATTCTTGACGCGGGCCGTGTTGTTTTCAAATCGTGAATCCTTTGACAGGCTGGCGTCTCCAAGGACTATGTCGCAAAAGTTGGCAAACTCTCGCTCATTCTGTATGCCCAACATGACTGACCCATCGCCTGTCTTGAACGGTCCGTAGGGATAGATTGAGGCGTGTGAAGCACCAGCTGGTACTGGACCAGGAGCGCCGTCGAATGCGTAATATAATGGGAAACTCATCCACTCCGTCAAGGCCTCTAGCATCGAGATGTCGATTTTGGATCCTTTGCCTGTCTTTTCGCGCTGCATTAAGGCTGCCAGGATGTTGGTATACGCATACATTCCTGCCGCAATATCGGCAATGGATATGCCAACCTTGGCAGGCTCTATCTTTGTGCCCGACTCGGTTTTAGCTTGCGTGCCCGTAACCGAAAGCATCCCAGATTCGCTTTGAATGAGAAGATCGTAGGCTTTCTTCTTGACATACGGGCCATCGCTTCCGTAACCCGAAACATCACACACGATCATGCCAGGATGCTTCTCTTGAAGCGCTTCGTACGAGAGACCGAGCCGACCACTTGCACCGGGAGCAAGGTTTTGGACGAGGACATCTGTGCGCTCGAGCAGCTTCTTCAGAATGTTCAGGTCTTCAGGGTTCTTCAAGTCCAATGCCAGACTCTCTTTTGATCTGTTCAACCAGATAAAGTGAGAAGCTTCGCCGTGGACACGAGTGTCGTATTTGCGGGCAAAGTCGCCATCTCCAGGACGTTCAACCTTGATGACTCGCGCTCCAAGATCAGCAAGCTGTCTTGTGCAGAACGGTGCCGCAACAGCCTGTTCAAGGCTCACAACTGTGATGCCGTCCAGTGGTCTTGCTGATTTACTCGTAGCGTCGACCGTTCTCCGAGATGTCGCGCAGGAAAAGCTGCGAAATTGCTCGCGTGATTGCACTCTTTGCTTGATATGTCGTCGATCCGTCTTGAAATGCGAGCTTCCGGCCCATCTCGTCGACTCTGACGCCTGAATTGATGATGCCACTGACGTAGATTTGGAGCAATTCCGAAGCGCGCTTGCTATACAACGTCTGGAGCTTGAAGCCATCGAGAGCCTTTGTCAGAGATGAAAACTGCTGGCGCTGCGATCTCACCGTGTCAAAAGGCTTTTAGATTTGATCAACAATGACACTGTAACGAAGGTAATGAAGTAAGGTTCATCCCCATTCAAAATATAAAGACAGAGTGGTGAAATTTGTACTTACGGACTCTTCAAAGGCGCGTTGCGGTTTCGGAGAGGAGGCCTGTTTGAATCGCCTCGGACTCTCACACCCCCATGCGTTTTTGGGCGGGTGGACACGGCACGTGACGGGCCGTGTCCGATGACGCTCTCTCTCTCTCTCTCTCTCTCTCTCTCTCTCTCTCTCTCACACAAGCCTCAGGAAGCCTCAAGCAAGCTCCCCTACCCTTTTGAGACAGGACGAGAGATCTTAAGGCAAACATAAATACTGGGCTGAATGGAGTGTCGTTTCTCATCTCTGAAACCAACCTTTGTTGGATGCCGACCTTGCACTGCCTTGCGATTTTCTCGGAGTAATATCACCGACCGGAACAACGACTAAGCGCAGACAAGATTTGAGCGAACCAGGCAATGATCGTGGTTGTTTCCAAGGAGCAGCAGCGCATACATGCTGAACGCGTTTTGGAGGCGAAGGGTTGATGTCATTTTGTGGCTGTCGCGCTATTAGGTAGGATACTATTCCAGGCGTTGACGACCATGGCAGCGATCAACACCACAACCCAGGAGGATCGTTCTATCTTTTCTTCTGATTGCATCACTTAACCCCGCTCACTAGTAATCTATCCGAATGCTCGAATAGTGAATGCGCAGGAAGAAATACGTATAAGTATTCGGTGCCATCTGGTCTTCCATTCTCTCCTTTAAGCACCACACCATACTCAAACATCTAACGAATTTCCTACCCGTTTTCCTACTTCCTTAGTATTTCTTTTATCTTTCCTAGAGTCAATCCTTTACTCTATCAATCCTAACCGTCTTTACTAAAAGTCACCACGACATCAGTCCCTTCGAGATCATTGTCATACCACTTGTACATCAAACATAATGCAGTATTCCCTCACCACAGCTCTCACCACCGTCCTTTTTACCTCCTCTATCACTTCGGCCATTCCACTCAACACATATCCTATGGGTCGTCGACAAGCTACTCCTTTCTCGGTTACTGTCGAGCTCACTGGAGCCTCCGAGTTAGCAGTTCAGGCAGCCATCACTGTAAACGGCAGGCCTCAGCCAGTCAGAAATGCTGCCACAATCACGCAAGCCACGGTGATTGACGCACCGAAAGGGCAAACAGTCACCTGCCATGCAACTGGCGTCGACCACGTTCCTTTGGGTGGCGGTTTTGGACTGAATCAGGAAACTCAAATCACCCAGAGCCCAGCTGGTGTCGATGTCGTGTCGGTTTCTTGCACAGCTTCAGGAAATAGCCACAGGCAGCTCACTGGACCCTTTGCATCGGGCAATAGTACAATGAACAATGTGGGCACTGCTGCTAAACTCCAAGCGACTGGCGCCGTTGCGCCGAGCAGTGGGCTCAAGAACAATGTCGAGACGGCACCAGGGCCTGAGGCGACTGGCCCATTTGCGTCGGAGAGCGCTCCTACGAACAACGAAATGACTGCCTCTGGACCCCAAGCAACTCGCCCCGCTGCCTCTGGTAGTGGACAGATGAGTGGTATCAAGACTGCGCCTAGGCCTCAGGCAACTGGCCCATTCGCATCAGGAAGCGGTCCGAAGAACGACGCAATGACTCCATCTGGACCTGGAGCGACCGGATCTGCCGCGTCCGGCAACGATGTCAAGAACGGTGTCAAGGCTGCCCCTGGACCTGAGGCGACCGGCACGTTTGCATCAAGCCGTGGTCCAATGAACGATGCCGTGGCTGCCACTGGATCTGGTCCATCTGGCCCTGTTCCATCCGGCGCTGGAAGCGCTGCACCTCAGTCTGAGGGGACTGGACCCCTCGCAAACGATCCCAGTCTCTTGCAGGCCGCTGAAGCCATCGAGTCCGCGCTTGCGCCTGAGGTTTCCAACTTGCTGGAATGAGATATCGCCTCGATCAACTGAGTCATAGCACGAAATATGTCCGTGGATCTTAATTGATTCAAGATGCATGACTACTTGCGATGCGGGAGTAATGGCGATGGAGCATTGGCTGTTTAAACAGTATGGCCACAATCAACATAATGGATGGTGTGCACAGGATTGGCGTTGTTATGGTTCACATTTTTAGCCTTACAATTGGCTTAGAAATAAAGTCCCTTCTTTGGCGACTTGCTGTCTCCCCGGAATTCGATCCGTTAAGCATGAGATCTACCCACGCATAGAGTCCAGTTGAGTACATAGCGCTTCCCAGTCCAACTACTGCCTATAATCAGATCATTAAGCCTCCTGATAATGTGAATAAGAGTACGGCCTCAAACTGCCCGGTGTTTCTTACTCTTTTATTACTTCTGGTCAACTCTATTCCCCCCCCTTTCAAAGGCTCGCGTGATTCTTCAACTACATGGAGGTTCGACAGCTGACTATGAGACAAACGACCTATTCCTAGAGTGAAGTTATTCATCGGATATATTGCTATTTTCGCTTCTTGCCGTCTGATGGGCTTGAATGAATTATCGCATCCTGATCGTCTCACGGTGCCATTAGATTACTTCGTAGACAGCCGTATTTTTGCAGTAATAGCCCTTCCGCATTATTCCGCGTAACTGTTGACCAGAGATAAGAGATGTCTCTTTTAATCATTAATGCGTTGTGCTCGTTTGCTTTGCAGAATTCCTTGCTCTTCCCGCACGCTGGAGTCGATGGACTGTCCCCGAAAGCCGTTACTTTCTCCAAGCAGCCTGAGTGTCTCTATTGAAAATTTTGTAATTATTGCTACGCAAGAGAACATTGTGTCTTATTGTATCGGATTAGAAGCGATTGAGAAAATTTTAGAAAATTTACTATATAAGAATATTTGTTAGATTTTGAGAATCAATTTCCGGTTCATTGGTCTAGTGGTATGATTCTCGCTTAGGGTCACCTAAGTCAAGCTGCGAGAGGTCCCGGATTCGAATTCCGGATGAACCCATTTCCTTTTGCCTCCCTCGATTGAGGTCTATAATTTTTTGCCAACTTCCAACCCTATCTCTCTGTTCGTTGGCGAGATATTGGCGTTGGAATTTTTTGATGGAATGTGGGCTAATTGTCAGGCCCCCACTTATGTTAGTTATACCTGGACGACAGCGCTCATAAGTAGTAGGTCTCAACGAGAAACATTTCAATGTAGTGTTAAGATATCGATGCCTACAGTCAGTGGACAATTGATTGATTGAGGGATCTGGAAAAGTTAGATCGGACAATAAGGCATAATATTTTCTCCAAAACGCAGATTGCACTACCTCCTCTCATACCCAACGCTATGCAAATCACACTGCCATCCAATCCTCAAGTTCAATCAAAATTTCATTTCATGATCACATACATCTTTCCAATCCTTTCACTCCATTTACAGCAGCAACAATATGCCAAGGCACTGCGCCGCCTTTCGTCCCTTTCATTCCCCTCAGTTTGGCTAACAAGCCTAAGCCTCTATATATATGCAAGTACTCCCTCAGAAGTGGATCAATCGACGGGCCTCCACGCATCCCTCCGATCGCAGCAGCCGCAGCCGCAGATGTCGACCCCGCCTGTTGCTGGGCTTGGCTTGTGGCCGGAATACCGCCAGGTGGAAATGGCGTGCCTGGAGTCACAGCTGCGCCTTGACTACTCGATGGCGTTTGATTCTGATTTTGGGCTTGGCTCTGATTTTGTTGCGCGTTGAGACCTTGTGCGCGAATCGAGCTACCAATCCAGACAATGTTTACTCCGACGGCGATCGGTCCTTGCACGTTACCTTCGTCATCTCTGCTCGAGGACCCATCGCCGCCTCGTTTGATGAGAAAGCCGCTTGCGAGACTTGGCCGCCATTCGGTTAAGCTATGTGAATTATTGAGTCGATGGCCCATAACTACGCCCCAAGTTTCATCAGTTGTGTCGATGAGGTGTGCGTCGGGGTCGTTTGCGGCGTCTTGCGCAACTTCGGAGGGTGTTGCTGCGGCACCGGCGGATGGGTCTGACGGTGAAACACCTTGTGGCGTGGAAACAGGCGTGAGATTGTTTGCGTTTTGCGTAGGCTGTGTGGCGGGTGGCATTAACGAGAGCGGCGGATCCGGATTGATGGAGATGAGAACGGTGCCGATGGGTACTGAAGATGGGCTTGTAACAATTGAAGCCCAGGCTGAAGGAAGTTAGCACATGCAAAGCACCTTTAGGACGAGAATGCAGACATACCTTCCATCTCATCTTTGTGCATTATCCCCGCCCTTGCAATGGATATCCGCCATGTCACCTTCCTCACCTGTATAATCGCCAATGTCGTCTGCCAAACTTCTCTTGCAGCATCCGTAAATGAACGAGCACCTCGCAATGAATATGACAAGAGGTTCTGATATTTACCACAGTTGTCCGTCCATGCGACGGTAAGCCAATCACTGTCCCAATCCATTGCATATCCAATATGTATATGCGAACAGTCATGCAACAAGTCCCCAGGCGGCTCAGCCGTAAGTTTGAAATGAATGCTTCGAGGGAGTGTTTCCTCCAGTTGAACAGACGGTGCGGTACGTATGCAAAGTGACGAGTTATCCGTAGTTGAGGTAGGTGGACAGCGATCGTAGACCTCACGTGCCAGAGCTGCGAGCAGTTGAGGTGATGGGACGACAGGCGCATCTATGCTTGCGACGTATTTGATGGGTATGATTTGTAGGACTAGATCCGGCTTGCGATCTAGCGGTGATTGAGCGCGGCACGACTGGTCGTAAGTCTGGAATAGAGCCCAGAAACAGGCGCAGATGTCGCGAAGGGATGTAGCATCTTCAAACGGATTGACAATATAAACCACAAAAGCTCCGATTTTTGGCGCATCCTCGTCAGCCTTCGTTTGCGCCGATTCTTGCAGGGCCTTCTCTGCTGGTACGAGATCGGCTTTGGCGAGCAATTTGCCTAGCTCAACACATGTCTCTCGAACGGTCTTCACAGCGTACTCACGGGTCGGACGATCCGTCCCGGACACTTCGACAGGTACTAAACCGGCTTCGAAATCGCCAAGATCACTGCCGCGCACATGCGCTCCGAGCTTGCAGCTATCATACGCTGCGCCTAGAGAATCGAGGAAGCTGCTGATAGGCTCCACCAAATCTTGGTTAGAAGGATAAACGCAAAATGCCATGACGTTCTTAGGTCCATTCGCCGGAGCAAGACCCAGAGGTTCCCAAAACGCCAGGGCGGTCGGAAGCAGATCCCACAACGAATCTCCACGTCGAAGTCGGACATGCTGAGGGTGAAGAGGGAATATTGTATTAGATGGTATTGCGGCATCAGGTCCCACTGCTGTCTTGCGCTGTTGCTGTTTGGGCTGATTCTTACTTCCTGGAGGCGGCTCGAAAGGGGCGTCCTGTACCTGAGAGTACTTAACGAGATCGTTTGGACCGATGCCAGGAAACGTGTCCACAAGGAGATTCTGGGGTAGTACTGGCGGTCTAGTAATATCGTTCCCAAAGCTCCCATCCCATTGAGCCGGTGTGCCAGATGGCTCTGGCAGCATTTGCAGGACAGTTGACGCCACTTGATCAACAAGCATTTGTGCAATTGCGATGATAGCCCTGCCCTGGAGGCCTTGGAGCTTCATCGCAGCGACGTCCTGGCTCGATTGTGGAGTTTGTGCAGGTGCTGAGGAAGTGATTGGCTGTGCATTCGGTTTACCCCCGATATTCTGCCCGATTTTGGGTGCAGGAAGCCTCGAAAGATCCCAATCAGCAGAATCGGGGTCAAAGATGCTTAGAACTTCAGTCTCTTTCACATTCAATGCCAACTCATCAATCTTCGGCAATCTTTCATCTGAAGATCCAGACCGAGGTGTCGAGACTGTCGACGTCCCGTCATCGATGCGTGGCCTTTTACGGCTTGATATTTCAGGTTCCTCTTTCATGTTCGTCTCTTCATCCCAGACAGCGATATCTTCTGAAGACATCACGGTTGACGTGTCTTCTGTATCACTATCTTCAACAATCTCCATTCTGCCTACGTCAGTGAGGGAGACTTTCTGCTGTGGATCTCTTTTGGAGGCTTGTGGTCTGCTTGATTCGCTCTGATAGAAGACTGCGGTAGGTCTGGAGCTGTCCAGCATTTTTGGTTCGGTCATGACACCTTGATCAATGCTTGAGCGGTTCTTGCTCGGCTTTGCTCGTAATACAGAGTGTCCGGATTCGCTCGGTGTAAACCCAAAAACACCACCAACAGCGTACTTGGAATCTGTTGCGTTGAAAGTACGATTGAATGACACGGTGTCATACATGCTGTCGCTTTGCGCAAGCTTATCGTTTATGACTTTGGCGGTTGGAACTTCATCAAAGGCTGAACGTGAGGAAACAAGCTGCTTGCGGGACACCACTGGGCTGATCGGCGGGCTTGCTAATGGTTCCTGATGAGGTGTCTCTGCGATGTTTTGTAGATTATCTGGCTCCGATTTATGTGCACCCGACTGCTCATTTTGGTCCGCTATCGTGGGAGGGGAAGTTGGAATCATTGCCACAGCATCAGAGGATATATCAGCGGTATGAGCGTCTTCTCTTTTGACGCCGGTTGGCTCCTGATCTGTTGTTATGTCCATTTGCATATCCCTTTGCTCGGTAAGTGACTGCTCAGGGTCGACTGGTTCGGAATCGACGATATCCATTTCAGCTCCAGCGTCCAATAAAGCATCATCGTCCGCATCAGGTTCGTCGAAAAAGTTGAAGTCTGCTTCGGAGAGCTCGTTACCGCCGAAGTTGTCTTCGTCCATGTCCATATCTCCAAAGAGCTCATTGTCATTGTCCAGTGGAGAGGCCGCCCCCTTCGCACCACCAACTTGTTTCACAACTTCAGGGACAATAAGCTCGAGATTATCACTACTAGTTCGCTGCAGCTCATGGCCACTCGTCACAGTAAGGCCATCGGATGAAACACCGCTTGCAGATGCCTGTGTCAGAATAGCATCAGGCGGTGTGGGATAGACTCCGCTAGCCGATTGTAGATCTGCTCTAGAATAGAACGGCGAGGCCGGATATAGTAAATTAGTATCTTGCAATGAAACCTGTTCCTGGTTGGTACTCTGAGCCTGCTTTTTGGCTTCTCTAGCCTTGTCACGCTCCGGTTTATTAAGGAACCATTCTTGTGCGTCGGCCAGAGGGTCGGCGTAGCGGTCTTGTCCGTCACCCTGGAACCATCGGAGGCCTTCGGAGGGAGAAACCCTCATTCTTTTCAGTGGATCAGATAAGCTACCGGAATAGTGGAAACATAGTACGGCTGGCCAAAGGCACCTCAAGACTCCAGGTTTTGGAGCTTGGCTTTCGTCGAAAGAGCCCCGCTCAGCCCAGACATCTTGCGAAAGTTGAACTTCGACCCATGAGTCACCTGGATCGATCGTTTCTAGGTCTATGCTTCTTCGTGCTAGCCAGTCTTTGACACTCGTCTTCCATTTCAAGTCGCTAAAAGCATTTGTGCCAGCTCTCAGCCTCTTTTGTGACGCAGCGCCGTGATCGTTGCGGTCAGTCGTAGCGCTCATATATTTTGCAAGAACACCGCTTGGTGAAAGCCGTACAAGACGACTGACATATGAATCCGATCTAGAGTTCGGATGGAGACATCTGATGTCCGGTCGAGGAACGGACGAGAAGGAGAGGACAAGAACTCCAGATGTGGTGACATAAGTACTCAGAGACACAATTTGAAGGACTTCAGGCGCATCCTCATCTTCCGACGGACTCTGGTAGCTAGTACGCGAAGAATCTGTTGTCACGAACGATCGTCCATTGAGTGGAACTAAGCCGCCTGTTGACGCGAGATGCCGAGCAACCGAACCTTCGACAGCAGAAATGAACCACGAATAGACTGCCAGAGGATCCAACTCAGGAGCAACAGTCTGACTGCTCGAGCCATCGCTGACTGCCGCGTTCCCCTGAAAGGCCTTCGCATTAGCTACCCATGTTCGCAGAATTCCACTCGACACGGTC